CATCTGCTGAGCTCACCTGAGTGGGCTTCTAAGGAAGTTCGGGGATCGGAACAAAATCCTGACCAGTAACTATTTTGAATGGGGTAGACCCAGTGTGCACTGCGTTATTATAAGCCACCTCAGCAAACGGCAAGAGTTCGTCCCAATTATTTTGTTGGTAATTGATGAAGCACCTCAAGTACTGTTCTAACATGGAGTTCAAACATTCAGAATCTCCGTCCGTCTGGGAGTGATGACTCAAACTCAGTGCCAGACTTGACCCAATTAACCCCATGAAGGCTTTCCAGAACTTTGAAGTGAACTGAACCCCGTGATTGCTAATGATCTGTTTGGGGACCCTGTGAGCTGTATAGACGTGCTGTATAAACATTTTGGCTAATTTGGTTGCCGAGGGGATGGATGTACATGCTACATAGTGCGCTTCCTTTGAAAATAAGTCAGTGACTACCCAGATCACAGTTTTCTTGTTACTTTTGGATAATTCCACAATAAAGTCCATAGCAATTTGTTTACAAGGTCTGTCTGGGCTCGCCACTGGTTGCAATAGAAAACCAGGAAAATAGGAAAAGAAAGGAACCATGGCAGCGGGAACAGAGGCAGGGTCCCAAGAGCTGGTGACCCTAGAGATCGAGTCATACGAGGATGAAGACCAGCCAGTGGGAAACTAAAATGTCCTGCTTTAAAACACGCCTGAAAGCAGGCGGCTATCCCAGGGCATGAGGATCGAACGGGAGATGAGTCGGGGAGCGATGACATGTCGGTGTGTCTCTTGACAGTTGAGGTGTCATGTGGGGCTCACATGGTAAAAAGGGGGACCAGTGTTGTGACGCCAGGGGCTGCGTTGGCAGCTGCGAGCGTGGAGGCTCCTGGACTGGATAATTCCAAAGAGACCTTAATTCTGGAGCAGTTCAGAGAGTTGAGAGCTGTGTTTAGCGAGATGGAGTCAGACCAGCTTCCCCCTCCACCGACCAACAGACTGTGCAACAGAAATTGAACCTGGAGCCAAATTCCCCAAGCTGAAAATGTATTCAATGACCCCTAAAGAAATGGAAGCCCTAAGGGAATTCATTGATAAGAATTTGCAAAGGGGGTATATACAACCTGCCAAATCGCAACTGGCTGCACCTGTCTTGTTCAGGGAAAAGATGGGTTGTTGCAATTGTGTACTGACTATAGGGGATTAAATGCTGTTTGCAAAGAAAATAAATATCCCCTCCCTCTAATGAAACTTATTGGCCCATTTGTTGAAGGGAAAGATCTTCACCAAGCTGGATTTATGAGATGCCTATTTTGGGTGTGAATGAGAGAAGGAGGTGAATGGAAGACAGCATTCAGTTGCCCCCTTGGATGTTTTCAATATCAGGTCATGCCATTCAGATTGTCGGGGGCATCGGGGGGTTTTATGCAGTTAATTAAGGAGGTGTTGCATGAGGACGTATACTGGGGTGTGTTGGTATATCTGGATGATATTTTGATTTATACTGAAACTATGGAGGAACACATGGAATTAGTGAGAAAAGTGTTGAAGAAACTGTTGGAAGCTCAACTGTATACTAAATTGTCCAAATGTGAATTTCACCAAGAGCAGATTGATTATTTGGGGTACCGAATCTCTAACAGGGGAATCAAGATGGATCCAAGCAAGTTGCAGGACGTAGTGGGTTGGGAACCATCAAAAACATGGCGGCAACTTCAAAGTTTCCTGGGCTTTGCAAACTTTTACTGCCAGTGTATTCCAAACTTTGTTCAAGTAGCCCTTCCCCTCATAGACTTATTAAAGACAAAGGGAAAGACAAAACGAAAGCCCAAAAGCAGGGGGCGGCGCTAGCATGGACAGAGGAATGCCAGGCGGCGTTTAAGCAGTTGAAAAGACTCTTTACCGTGGAGCTCATTTTGAAACATCCCAACCCCAGAAAACTTTGTAATCCAGGCAGACGCCTCAGATGTAGCAGTGGGGGCTCTGCTGCTACAAAAGTCAGAAGATGGGGAGTTACATCCATGTACTTACGTATCACAGAAGTTTACTGAGACAGAGAGAAGATGGCTAGTGTGGGAAAAGGAGGCATTTACTGTGAGATGGGCTTTGATTTGTTGGAGACATTTGCTGGAAGGGTCATCGTCTCCCTTTGAAGTTTGGACCAATCACAAAATCCTGGAGGCTTTGAATGCCCCGCGAAAGTTGCCCCCAAAACAAGTCAGATGGGCTCAATTTTTTAGCCGGTTTAAGTTCACCTTAAAGTACATACCAGGAGGAAAGAATTTTTTGGCAGAAGTGCTTTCTAGACTACCCCAGCATAACAACCAATGGGAGGAACTGATCGCTCCAGTTCTTCCTTGTGCTCAGGCAGGAATGGTGGTGGTCACCAGGGGGCAAAGTAAAACAGAGAAATGCGAACTGGAAGGAGAACTGCTGAAGGAGTTGAATCGCCAAATAGAGAAAGATGAATTAAGAATTAATTAATTAAGAATAGAGACTCTAACTAACAAACAAGGGGCATGGTGGTGGGGAGACAAATTGTATGTCCCTGCCGAGTCTAGGAGATGGGTCTTGGAATGCAGCCACGATAGCAAAACAGCAGGGCACTTTGGGTTTGTAAAGACTTTGCACCTCCTTCGGAGGCAGTTCTGGTGGCAGCAATGAGGAAAGATGTAGCTGATTATGTGGCTAGCTGCCCCACATGTGCAATGGCAAAGCAGCAGGGGGGGAAACTGATGGGTCTATTGCAAGCCCAGACAGATCTTGGAAACAAATTGCTATGGATTTTATTGTAGAATTGTCCAAAAGCAACAGGATAATTGGGACGAATTCTTGCCATTTGCTGAGGTGGCTTATAATAACACAGTGCACCAAAGCACTGGGTTCACCCCGTTCAGAATAGTTACTGGTCAGGATTTTGTTCTGATCCCCGAACTTCCTCAGGAGCCCACTCAGGTGAGCTCAGCAGATGATTGGGTTAAGCAAATGACATACATATGGCCGGATATAAAAGCAGCGTTGGAAGACACTAGCGAAAGTTACAAAAAGTATGCCGACTGTAAGCGATCACCGGAGAAGCAATGGAAGATGGGAGACAAGGTTTACCCCGTTCAAAACAGCCACTGGTCAGGATTTTGTTCCGATCCCTGAAATCCCTCAGGAGCCCATTCATGTGAGCTCAGCAGATGATTGGGTTAAACAAATGACAGAGATATGGCCAGATATAAAGTTGGCGCTGGAAGATGCTAGGGAAAGTTACAAAAAATACACTGACCGTAAGCAATCACTGGAGACGCAATGGAAGGTGGGAGACAAGGTGTACTTATCAACTAAGCATATGAGGACATTGCAGCCATTGAAAAAGTTAGGTCCCAAGTTTGTGGGACCTTTCACAATAACGAAAGTTATCAACCCCATAACGGTTTGATTGCACCTGCCTCTGACCCTTAAACGGATTCATCCTGTATTTCATAGTGACCTCCTGAAACCCTGTAAGGAGTTGCTGGAATGTCACCCAACTCAACCACCTCCGGATTCTATAATGATTGAAGGTGAGCAGCATTTTGAGGTTAAAGAGATTTTAGATGCCCAAAAACACCATGGAGAGATTAAATTTTTAGTTCAGTGGAAGCATTTCCCCAGGTCTCCATGCGAATGGGTGGCAAAGAAGCATGTCAACGCACTGCAGTTAATCAAGGACTTTTACAAATGTTACCCAAATAAGCCCAAATAACTATATGAATCCTGTTGTATAACTGTACCTATGTTTTTCTCTGATGTTTTATCTTTCAGATCAGCACTTCAGCAACCCTGATCTGATTCTTTCTTCTGGAGGGGCGACATGTCAGAATCCTCACAATCAATTAACCAACTTGCTAGCTTGGTTGCTTCGTTTCTGCCATTGTAGATTGGGGGGGGGGGGCGCCATGCTGTGAAGGAGCCGTTAGAAGCAGATGGGCTGTTATTGGATTCTCAAGAATGCTCAAGGTCGTACCAATGGGAGACGGACAAGAGGACTGGGAAAGCTAGCAAGGGGGGGTGCACTAAGAAATGGGTAAAAGTAACTTTTTGGTGTGCCCAGGCTTAGTCTTAGCAACACTTTGGACCTGTACACTACTTCTCAATAAATGAGCTTTTCTTTGAACCTACATCGGTTTCAAGGAGACTTTCTTTCATTGGGAATCGAGAGTGGCAGATCATTACAGCTTCTCTCTGGTTCAGCTAGTCCTTTGTTTTTTATATGTCCAAAATATAATTCCAACAGAAGCTTCTTGGAACAGAATGAAAAGTGTTACATTACAAAGTACTCCAAAGGTTATACTATAATGGGAAATATGAAAAATAAAGCCTGGTGGAATTATGAAGTGAAAAAGGCTGTGGATAAGAAAAGATTATGTGAAAAAATGCATATAAGAAAATGGATCATGGAAAAATAAGGATAATAGCTATTGTATAACATATATAGAAATAAAATGATAGCTGCAAAGAATGTAGTCAAAAAGAGCAAGAAATGGTTAAGATTGGAAGAAACAGTGACAATACAGAACATTTTTTTATGGAAATAAAAATGGTTTGGAAATGGATGAAAAGGACTTAATAAGAAGCTTCTAGCAGAATGAATGGGATTAAAAATGAAAGTGTTTAAATTATTTGTGATGAACTGAAGTGACAGAATGCTGGAAGAAGTATTTTGAGATTTGAATGGGAAAGATAATGTTATGTTAAAGAATGGAACTGAAATGAATGCTATACATGTTCAAGAATGGAACTGAAATGGATGCTATACATGTTCAAGGAAAAAATGATAAAAGGGAAGTCATAAATCCTGTGAGAGTGTTGAAAAATTGTAAGGCTATAGGTGTAGATGGTGCAACTGGAGAATTAATATAATATTTAGCAAATGTTTCAACATTGTGTAGGGAGTAAGTTAATAATGTGTGATGTCCTCTTGATTGTTTAATGCATTTATGGACTAATGTATAATGACAGCTATGGTGACTTTAGAGGCATATTGGCCAGAGACGTGAACGTTCAGGTATTGCCACATGCAGATGATGCATGTGGCAGCATGCTTGAGCTGAGAACCCAAATGATTTGCAAATGAGAGATTGTATGATGCACCAAAGAGTTTGGATCTGAAAATAAATTATATATAAATGGTAAAAAATTAGAGCAAGTAGAGAAATGTGTATACTTTGAAAGAATGCTTACTAAAGGAGGAAAAATGGATGGAAGTATTCTAAAATGTGTCAGTGCTGGTAGAACAGTAATAGGTAAA